AGATAAGCCATGCTCGAAGATCGTTCCTTACGATTTAGCACGTTCGAGTGGGACGATTAGAAGTGTGTGCTCGCGCGAAACGTTTCTCCGAGACAAGCGTTGCATTTTACCGCGAAAGATTACGTTAATCCGTTCGCGTCCGAGATATTGCGATTTGCGACTACGGATCACCTCCATGATTAGGTGAGAGAAAAGAAAAGGAAGCACGGAAGGTGAATAACGTCTCTTGTAACGGGAGAGAAAACGTGTTAAGAACGATGAACGGGGCGTGAAAAAGACTTGACGATTGAAGATCGCCGAAGAACCGCGGCGTTCTTAGAGACGCGCCAGGAATTACGACATTTTCACGTCACGACAATGAGTTATGGCCGTGAAACATTATTTACGCAGCCGCGAGTATTCCCGTACAAAGAGCACGCTGTATGCGCGACGACAGAGTTACACACCCCTTGTAAGCCAATTACGATGAGCGCGCGTTAAAATGATTTCGAGATTCTCGCATACTCACATTAAATGGCACGAATTAAAACGACCTTCTCTTTAATGTACACATCGCTCAGCGTTTCTCAACCTTTCCCCGATATCTCGGAGGAAAAGTAAACGCGATTTCCTTGACGAATGGCATAACCGATCCTCGACCTGCTTGTTCTAAAAGAGACTGCCGTTTGACTGCAACGTGTATGATCGAACTTCTCGCACTCGGGAAAAATGTTCGATATTTGTGACATAATTATGATTAGGAGAGCTCCATTTTTCTAGTTATTATTATTATATTTATATTTTTATATACTAAATAAATATATAATTGGTAACAAAAATGACTATAAATTATAATATTTGTGATTATAATTGCACGATAAAATAATTATGACTACGAGTCTTATTTTTATAGTTATTATTGTCATAATGTTAGTAATAATAATTATATTTATAGTTCTATATACAAAAAATATATGGTTGACACCAAAAATGATAATAAATTATAATATATATTATATATTACAATATTTGTGATTATAATTGTATGATAAAATAATTATGGTTAAGAGTTTCATTTTTATATGCATTAATGTTATAATGTTTATAATAATAATTATTATATTTATAATTCTATCCCTCTAAGCATACAATAAAATGTTGTATGAATGTTATTTGCCCTTCATTCATATAACATCTATCTAAGAATATTTTTTTATAGAAATGTACTAAAAAATATGTATAGCGACTATAATATACGGACATTTTCGATGCCAACTATACATTTTCCTTGTATATGAATAGAACTACAAATATAATTATTATTGCTAATATTATTATTGTTATAACTATTTATTATTACTATTACAGTAGTAATAATTATAAAACTGGAGTTCCTAACTATAATTAAAATTACAAATACACAATATTTTTCTCCTAATGCTACATATTTTAATAAATATTTTAATCTGTCTCTTAATCTACATAATCGACATTATTGAAGTACGGATTATTCTAACGCTCGGGCATAGGAGATATGCTATTAAATTTCACGATTCTAGTTAAATCGACGTTTTAAGACAAACTCAAGGCGGAAACAAGGTGACGTTGCAAGTAAAACGCGCGACGTAGAAACGGAGTAACGTAAATTACTGATATTACTTCGCCTCTCTGTTTGGAGGTGTCAAGTCAGACGAGTGATTAGATAATTATTTATATCGCCCGCAGCTTGGGTCTCGCGTCGAAAGGAAAAGAAAAACAAATAAAATAAAAAGACTACCTTCCGGTGATGTTAAAATATGTAGCTGTTCGTGCGCGCGCGCCCACTTCCGTTTCGTCAATTTCGTGACCCACATTCATCCATTCGAGAATCGGAGCGTCACGTTGGCATCATAGGAAGCCGGAAGTGCGACGTCGCAGACACGAGGCGTCCGCTTGACTAGATCGTAGAGAAAGAAAAGAGAGAGGAGGTTAAAATCGTAAAAGAGAGGAGGAAAAGATCGTGCGAAAATACAGGAGCGCCACTCGGCGAAGGATCAGATCAACGACCCGAGGTTGCCACCTGTGCGTCCCAAACCGGTCTCGTTTTTGGCGCTTGTTCTCGGTGACCCACACACACACACACGCGCGCGCGCACACGCACACGCACACGCGCGCACACACACACACACACACACACACACACACACACACACACACACACACACACACACACACACACGGTGGTGCCTGACCTTTTCACCCCTTCCTTCTTCCCTCACCCCACCGATATCGGTCATGTTCAGCAGAATGTTTATTTTGCGACTATTAGAAATTGTTGTCGCGCTAATTGAATTATACGTTTAAATGTAGAAAACTAGCCCCAGCCAAGAAAACTTCCAATAACCATAAAATAAATATTCTACTGAACGCGGCCATCTTAACGCCGAAACGGTTTCGTTAAACTTGAAACATAAGACGGGGAGCACAGACTTTTATAATGCATAATACGTAATGCATAAGAAAGTGTATCAATCAAAGCCCTTCCTTTCCTTCCTTTTCATAAAATAAAGAACTCTGATTGATTGAATTTCTTATGCCTCATGTGTTATTCGTTAAGAGCCTGTGCTTATCGCTTTAGGCCTGTTCTTTTTAGCTCAACCTCTTACACATTTATTTTTTCTCTTTTTCTTTTCACGTTAAATGAATGAATGAATAAATGATTCATCATTTATTTTGCACCTGGGATGATTCCCTCCCAAGAATATTACAAATGTAGAAAGCCATAAAACGTGAAATAAAGAAAAATACCATTATATAACGTTTCTATTGTATGAAAAATTAAGAGAGAAATAAAAATAATAATAAACTATAGATAGAAAATACAAACAAGAAAAAGTCGATTACTGTACAAAACGCAGATAAATCGAATCGAATATGGAATAGAGATGGAGATACAAATATCTGAACAAGATAATCTAAGAGTTATTAAAGTAAATGAGTAAATATAAAAAAAAGCCTCTCCTCTAAAATCGTCAATAAATAATTGCATTTCATACCTCACAATGAGATTTTCAATTGTCTGAAGTTTTAGATTTAAAGCGCAATTAAAAGGCATAGAAAATAGAAACAGAATTTTTAATCTATCAGAAACCGTGTATTCTGATTTACACAAAATTATATTGAAATTTGTTAAAACCTGCTCCTACCGTATTTTTTAGACCTACAAGCCATTACCTACCTGACCTTTAAGTCTCAAACCGTAAGAAATTGACCAATCATAGTCGATCGTTCTTCTCAAATTCGCCTCTGTGATTGGTAAATCTCTCAGAATTTAAAGTTCAGATATGACTTATTAAAGAAAGCCGATTTCAATCGTGTCTCAAGCTTTATTCTCGCTCTCGATACTTTGGAAAACGCAGCCACCGAATATGCGACGAGCAACAAGTACATACGTCTATAAGCAGACACTTGACTTTTCGGAGTCGTCTAGAAATGCCTCGGTATCACCTCTTTAACGCCGAACGCCCGACGTAACGCCACGCGTCACGGCGTGCTTTAACGCGCGATCAGTCACGCACGCATACACACGCGCGCGCGCGCGCGTCTTCC